ATTGTTTTCTGTCAGTGTTTATATGTATTGATCTAGCACAGTAAATAATACAGAAAGAAATTGAAGGAAAACAATTAAAGCAAGTCTTGCATTTTCGGTTCAGTTTTGAACCGAGATTTTCCAAAGTTGACAAGTCTCTCTTTCTCGCTCCGCCCCTCCGTACTACGTCATGTAATGTACACTATAGTGGATCGATACTATATGACAATGAAAGAGAGACTTGGAGCAAGTCTAGGGTCAGTATAGTCTTATCGTATAAATGTATATTATATTAATGTATATTATAGTAAAAATATGTCGTAAAATATAAATTTTAAAATGAAATTGACTTGCCTATTTGATAATGTGTGTTCTCCTTTTATTCCTCCTTTGTTGGACTAATATTTTCCGAGACTTTGTACTCGATGTTACTAGTATACATGAAACATGATAAAGGCTAATGCATGAGTCAATTCCTGGAGTAACCATCCCCCCCCCCCCGGGACACCCCCGGGAATTTGCCCGATAAACAGTTCATGGGGGTCGGGAATTTGCCTTTCATATATGTGCACGGGGGCCGGGTATTGGAGGACCCCTGGGATTTGACAAATAGTTGACCAAAATCCCACCCACAAATTTTAAGGCAGCAAAATCTAGTTTCAGGCACGCATGTGGGCGCGCTGATCGTATTTTGTGCCCTCGTGGTCAAGGTGGCGTGAAATTTATTGTAAGAATAAGCGAAAATTATACCCTGTGCCATGCAAATTTAAATACAACTATTAAAGGTTTATGTTTTATAATATTCCATAACAGTTTAATACTATAATGTTATTAAATGACTATGATTATATGCCATTAAAAGTTTAATTAACGTTTACAGTCGATTTCACGAAACTTTGACCACAAATTTTCCGAACTTCGTTGCGAAGTTCACAAGATTGTTGCGAAGTTCAAAAGTTCATAATGAGATTCACAAACCAGTTCGTAAGCTACGCATTTGATTGGCTTCTTTTACTTCACGGACCAATCAGGGACTTTGTTTACAAATTGGCTTGTGAATTCCAATATGAGCTTCCGAACTTCGCAACGAACTTGCGAACTTCGCAACGAAGTTCGGAACATTTGTGGTCAAAGTTTCGTGAAATCGACTGTAAAATCGTCCCCGGGGTGGGGCATTTTCCACTCTCAGCTTGCCCGGGGGCCGTGCATTAGTCTTCAAGTTGTGTCCCGGCACCCGGGCATTTACACTATCATAACCAATCAAATCAAATGCCCGGGTGTGTTCCCGGGGGGGATGGTTACTCCTGGAATTGACTCATGCATAACTATTCGCGATCGTCGATATGACGGCACGGCACTTCGAAAACTATCGATATGACGTCACGTCACTTCGATATGACGGCACTGCACTTCGATGATTGACGGCACGGCACTTCTCCAAAAAAATTCGCCAGCATGTACAACAAATGCCGTTCTTCGAAAGTACGGAGGTACTTCGGCGAGATGTACAAGTTTTGGACCATATTTTAACAATGGAAATCAAAACCCATTTTATATTGAACTTGCCCAGACCGAAAATTACTACGGCGAACGTCTGCGCAACCAGGCCTCCTTTACCGTTGGATTTACAGGGGGGGGAGCAGATATTTCCGGTAACAGCCAGCCAATCGCGGCCGCGATAGCGACTGTTTACATTATTTGAAATTTGATATTCAAACTAAAAACTCCTTCGATCGAATACTGTATAAAACTCGAGATGTTGTCGAAGAAAAGAAAACTAAACGACGGAGATTGAAGAAGTTTAAGGAAGAAGTAATATACAGCGGCTCTTTGTTGGAAAGCATGGTAGAATATGACACTTTAATTCGAAATATTATCGTGAATATATTAGTGGCATCGTCCCCCCTGTAAATCCAACGGTAAAGGAAGTGCCGTGCCGTCGTATCGACGATCGCGAATAGTTAGCCTTTATCTTGTTTCATGTATACTAGTAACATCGAATACAAAGTCTCGGGAAATATTAGTCCAACAAAGGAGGAATAAAAGGAGAACACATACTATCAAATAGGCAAGTCAATTTCATTTTAAAATTTATATTTTACGACATATTTTTACTTAGTCTCCCTCGCAGCCTGTTCGCGGGTATTCCCACTCACAGGCTGCTAGCTTTCGAACAACATTCCTTTCTGCCTGCTTAGGAATGCAGATTGGAATGTACTATTAATAGTAACAGTAATATGCAATCAGAATTTGGCGCGAAGCTGTAGTGAGTATTCGTCACGTGCAGTGTCATTCTATTTTTAACTATTGTATTGACTTCATTTATTATCGAAGCAGGATGTCTCTTATAAATATAAAAATAATAAAATGCAGGAAAGTCCAAAAAAAATGGTAGAAAGACATCGGTGTTTTACGTGTTCGTTAGACACTTCGAAAAAAGTGTATATATTTGGCAAATCTTCAATAGATTTTGGTGATATCATAAGATCATGCCTTGGTGTTGATGTACATAGTTATTCTGCACAACCTGGCTTGTTTATTTGCAAACCTTTTTGCTACAAGAAACTTATAAAATTTCAGCGCGCTTCTGAGCATTTGGAAGAAGTTAGGAAGGAAATACTAGAATCGTTTCATAACAGAAAACAGCCGAGAATTAAGCGACAAATCGTAGAGGACGCTGATAATTGTGATGGAAATCAAACTGTTCTCAATCGCGCGGCAAAATCACTAAAATTTGGAAACACCTCTGCAATTTATCGGCAAAGCTCGTTGGGTTTATTCAACTCACCGACTATTCCTATTGGGAATGAGTTGCCACATATTATAACAGCACCAAAACATCTCACTTCGACCCCTATTTCTGAAGGAAATATTTCTCGGGAACTTGCAGATTCGCCAACTGTTAAGTTGTCAGTGCGATACCCCAGCAAAACCCTCAACAAGACACTTTGCAAGAGTTTAAAGTCGATTGGAAAGACCTTGGCACATGGTAATCCATCACAAATCGCAAATGCTGTGATGAACTGCCCAACGGTTAAAGAATATGTACTCAAAAAAACGCTGTCACTTCTGAACAAAGAAGTCATAAGTTTGTGCTCTAAGAATAGCCCTTCAATGTTGAGAAAAACGAGTAAAGCGGATTTGGAAAAGTTCGATTTGGAGCTTCTATGTAATGAGTGGAGGGAAAAGGCGCCTTTATTTTCCTCCTTCCTCATGACTGTTTCTGCGAATAAGAGGACCAAAGGGAGTCTGTGGTTCGGCAGTGTTGCTATAGCGGGATCTGTACTACTCAAACAGAAGAATGAGAAAATGAATGCTACCGCTGCAGTTCTTGGAATGGTCATGAAAAGCAAATCAGTCGAAGTAAGTTTACAAGTTATGTAGCAACACAGCTGAGCTTTATTTATGAGCAATTTGTTTAATATTCTTCAGATTTACTCAGGAAATGTAATCTATTGATCTAAGGTTTAATTGATATAACGTTTAATTTAACTTGAACAATATATTGGAACCGTTAGTTTAGTGTATTCTGTAAGCCATGTATTATTGTATATTGATTACGTATTACTTTTTTATTGATTTTACAACAAAAACATTTAAGGCTCAGCCACAGACAAAAGGAGTACATGAAAAATAGAGTTCCCAATCAAGTCCTGCCTGACTCACCTGACACGAATACCCTGAACTACATTGTATCACTATGACCTCAACAAATATACATAAACTAGAAGTTACTATCGCAAGGAAAGTGCTGCCTCACCCCCAAGAGATCAAAGACAGCATGCGTAATTTGCTGAATAAGGGGCTGTTTTATATATGATCCCGCTTTGCCATGACGAGATGTGAGCCGGGGTTATTTTGATGTATTGAAACAAGTCACAGTGCAAAATTCATTATTTTCTTGAGATAGATTAATTAGTTAACTGTAAACGAAACATAATAACAATCTTCTGGAACTACAAGATCTTCTCTACAATATTTAAATTCTCTTAACCAGCATTTTAACTTTTGTTTAGCCTACTGACTTATTTCAACACATCAAAATAATGACATCGCACCTTCCATCATGTAAACAGCCCCTAAGACACCTGTTCAGTATGTAGGAAAAGTGCAATTTGAATATCAAACACCTTGCAAATTCGAACTAAATTGCAAGCAAAATCCCCAATCTCAGCCAAAATATTACATAAATCCGCAATCCGCTGTATTAATAAGATTGGTGGAATCCGACAATCCGAAAACCTATTCACCCCCCCCCCTTATAACTTATTGCTGTTGTATGTACATTTATAATACTGTCAGTGGTGAAGCTAGTCATTGCAACAGATCATGCTATGCAAGTTTTTAATAATTTGCATTAGTCAAATAGATGCAGGTTTATTGACGTGGCATGACCAGTTGCCACGGCAAGCTTGCCACTGAATATCAGACAAAATCATATTATATATAAATGATAATACTTGAATGAATCATTGGACATGTAGAATTTAATTATAACAGTTTCATATATTTAACAATTATTGGATGGGGTTGAGCAGGATATCCAGCAGGAATTCGGCAGATAACATTGACCAAGGTCTGAATAATTCTGGTATCCTGTGCAAGCCGAATTATTCATTTTGTGACAGAAAGAAAACAAAACAAGCAACAATTAAAAACAAATAAAATAATATTCATTGAATTGATTAACTTTTCGTAAATTCAACTGAAAATTTCCTGCCAATTTGTATTTTCACATAACATCCGCTGAAATATCTCGGGCGCCGTCCAATAACCTCTGCAGATTATTGTTTCCGCTGGAAATAGCACAGGCACCTACAAATACCCAAAAAATTTTGTAGGCTCTTAGCCAATGAAAAACCGAGAACACAGTGCAATGAATAATAAATAGAAATATTAAGTCAGTTTTTGTCCCAATTATCGTTTTAATGGCACCTTCAAGGCTACCCCTATTGCAAAACCACTGAAGAATCTGCTCAGACCTGATGGGGAGACAAAATCTATTAATTGTTGACAGTTTTATTTCATTCGTCAGCTTCTGCATGGCAGCGATACCATTCATTTGTAATGATTAAGATTGTACTCAGTCAGACTCAGAACTGCAAAACTATATAACACAAGAAATTGTAAGCGTTACCAAGAATATAGTATACCCTGAACTGTAGTGACACAGCCAGGTGAATATATAAAATGTAGGCCGGTAGGATTATTTCCTATATATTATGCTAACAATGGACATATCTCAGAGATATATTCTTACATGCAGATCATTATATCGTTTACAAAAGTCGCTTGACATGTTTGATTACATGTATTAACTGCTGGTATAAAGTTTCCACACTGGGTTGCTATAGCAATATCTTTGTACAAGTCAATGAGTTTACAATTTTTCATTCGTATACAATTGTGTGTTCCAATGCGGGCACGATACTGCTCAATTGATATTCCCATATAAATAACAATATCAATAATAAACTATCACTGTGATTATTATACCTTGAAGTACGATGTTCTATTAAGCTATGTTCAAGTTCAATCAGATTTTTTACAAACTGACCATCGACGAGCTGCACTTGTTTATATGAAGACTTGTATGCACCTAAAAATTTAATAATTTAAATACAGTTAATTCATTCGCTTCAAGTTTCAACGCGTATCGACCAGAACACATTGTTATTTGTGATCAAACTTTCATCTTACCTTGAAAAATAATTCGACAAACAGCCAGAGTCCAGACATAAAATTTGCGACGACACTATGCGAACATGCAGTTTTTAGTGTGGGCACAACTAAACTTGTCTGGCATATATTTAGATGACACAAACACTGCTCTGTTCGTCTTACATTGTTGATGTGAACACAAAAATGTAGATCCTTCCTGAACCACAAGGCAACGGTCATCGCGTGTACTTGTGTGTTACAGAGAAATCAGTACTGCTGCTGGCTGATTCAGACGCGACCTCTTCGCTTTCACTTCTCGCGTCCCACCGATGTCGCTACCACATTTTAATACTACAGTTCACGGACTTCCATCTAGTGGAATTCTCTTGGCCGCAATTTGAGCACGAACCAGTCCCTCGTTTGGTCCATGACATTCTTGAAAAAGTCGTCGAACCCGTCTATTATGATAACTGAGCTATTTTACATTTTTACCCTCAAAGCATGATATTTTTAGCAAGCACAACTGAAGAACAACAACAATTTATCAGAGGCAATTTATCACTCACTAAATAGTGCACGTGATACAGCGTTAGCCAATCACATAGCCATTACCCTTCTCAACCTTCTCGACCTTCTCACTCAAAGCAACCAATCATAGAACTCGTTCCGAAAGCTGCGTATTATCTGTTGTTTACAGCTGTTGATGCATACATTCTTTTGTGAATTATTTAGTTGAACTTTTAACGACAATAGCCCATCAACAAACAGCAGGTATATGTGAACCAGGCTTCACTTGGTTAAATAGTTAATTGGAACTCACCCCCTTAATTAATATCATGTGAATATGCTAAACCCATTAAGTTGTATTGTAACACATGTAACAACCTCTTTCTAATATAGTATATGCCTAGTTGTGTTACACGTACTGGCCATATGACATCCATGATTTGATAAATAAAGAAATTTATGATGTATCTGCATATTCTCTAATTATATGTATCTCCCTTGTTCATGTTTAAATAAAATTGCTCTTGACATATATTTGTTTTAAATATAATAAATCTAGATTGGCATGAATCATGTAAGAGCCTACAATGCCAGGGGCCCACAACAAGTTCTTGTTGTCTCATCGCTTGCCGGCACGCCCCTGCTTTTACTCTGTCTAACATCAGACAATTTTACTATTCCAGGGGAGAGTGCAAACAATGGGCTAATCTAAAGCTTCACAGCTTACAATTAATATGTACCCACCATTGAAAGACTTTTGGGTGGTTAATGTAACAATTAATAGCAAAACATGCAGGGATGGATTTACTGGGGGGGGGAGGGTGCACACCCCCTCCCTAGCCCTGGCCAGGGGGTATGTGTGTGCTATTTTTCATGATAAAGCAAAAAATATTAGAGACAAAATGAGATATTGTACACAGTACACTTGTACCACATGGAGGTTGTTTTGCCAAATTATCAAAAATACTGCTGTTGCTGTATATTAATGGCGGGCTGCACACATGACGACACAACTCGAGTCACTCGACACCAGAGCTGGCAGAGCACCCCCCTACCAGATCATGCTGGATCCATCCCTGACAACATGTCTAACACTGGGAAGTTTCGTCAGTGACTGTTTGTATGGTTATAGAGAAATTTGCCTTGCAAAATGGATTTTACCCATGTAAATATTTTGTCTGTGAACTTTGGCAAGCAAAATGGAATGTATGTAATGCCTCCATTGGTTAATTAACAAATCCAAGGCAAATGTTATTAAGACAGGTCTTCATACATGTTGCACCACATGGAAAACTATTAGATTCTTATTAAATTCCAGTTGTCCTTTCTCTTATGTCTACATTTATACTCACACCCATATATAAAACAGGGCCACTGATTTAAGAAAGCTTTTGCTATTTTCGCCACATCTGAGACACTCAAGTTTGAAAACTTTGTCTTTGTCCAAGGGATAAATTGCACAGTGTATTCCACAATAAGAAAGCTATTTGTTTAAGACTTTTATTAATGATTTCCTTCCATACAAGCGTATTAAAACAAGGCAAGAGGTGTTTATATATTTAATACGCAGGCACAATCATAGATGTCAACAGTTGAATTTACATTTTATATATATTGACAATTTTCGATCGTTCCTTTTCGTGTTACAATTTCGACTAAATCACTGCACTTTCAGCTTATTATGATATAAAATGTCGTCAACAATTTGAATAGAAATTTGCATATATCAACGATAAACTTTCAATTGAAACCTTGTCTTGACATGAATCGACGACATTGTGAATTCACTGCTCTGCAAAGTCACTCGTTATCTCTAAACAATCCAAGTAAATCGCTGCGTCGGCTTTCGATAACGTTCTCAGCTCCTTAGTCAAAGTTCCCTTTGTATTTGCAATGTTGAAGAGCAGGATTATTCGTTAATTTTACAGTTTTACTCGTCTTGTAAGCCATCGTGTTGAAAACAAAATTTTCTTCACTCCTTGCCGTAAGCCCTTCCTACTCCCCCTAAGTTTGAGTTTGTCAAAATTTGCATGCGCGAGCCGGTATGCGCAGTGCAAATTTTTGTGTCGATTTATGGCAGGCATCTCACCAAACTTTTTCCCACCACCCGATTCGTCGGGTGAGATGCCTGCGGAGGAGGCTACACTTGACCAACTTTGTGAGTAATTTTTATTTTTCATTAAAATTAATGCAACAATAAAACAAAAATATGTCTA